CAAAACATCTAGTGCAACCCCGTTTTGGTGAAATCCATGTTGCTCAGTCTAGTTTTCTTCATAAAATATTGTGGACTAACTTGCTTTTTCGTCGTTTTTCGTTTTTGCTATGACGTTATCATTATCTCTTTGACTAATGAGTTTTGAAAGTCCCCTTAATATATTCCGCGTCTTGTTTTTTAGATAGATAATAGATTGTTTCAGAGTTCAGTTTTAAATGTATCACTGTCAAATGAAGAAAAAGATCTAGACATGAAAATATATATAACTGTTAATTCAAATTCACTGGAGTCCAAGAGATACATGATCGTGCATGTTAACAAAATACGGACATCATTAACAGGGTTGTGCTACTTACAGAAAAGAGTTATGAGGACAAAAATTGACACTTCAGTTTAACCGTCACTATCACGCATTGGTTGACCGATACGATGCGTTGCTGTCTTATCTCACTAGTGATATGTTTTCGTGCTCTTACATCTTTATATCCTAGTATATTGGTTTGATCGGTGGTGTCCTATTTTTGATTAAGTGTGGATTCGGATGGCGGGTGCATGAATAATTGGAGAGGCTTACCCTGTCGACTCACCAATTCTCGCTACTTTTTGAGTATATGCAGTTCCTTCAGATTTGTACACGTGTGATGCCTTGAATTCTTAATCCATTTCCGAGATTTGAACAATGGTAAACTTAATCAAGCATCTATATTTTGATAATGATTAAAATGCTCGAATATCATCGTTATGTAGCGGGGAAATGATTTTTATCTCAAATTTAATATTTGCCGAACATATGTAATTAATTTAACTAATTTGTTTTTATCATAATTCCATACATGTCAGGAATGTCATGCATCATCCATGAATCTTTGATTTTTATTTCAACAATTTTGATATGTTTCATGTTTGCCAATTCAATATATTCACGTGTATTAGGAAACCTGATAGATATGTTTGCTTTACTTTATGTTTGTATTAATTGCTTTTATTGTCTCAATAATTAACTATATTTTTTTCGTTTGTTTGTCATTTAGATGCGCATAAATGTGAATTAGAAGTTTTGACATGGTTAAATCTATATTCAACAAAAGAGGAAATGATTGCGAATGCTGATAGAAAGATACATTGATAGACTCATACATTAAGGTGGCAAAAACTTTCTAGAATGTATTACTTCATTTGTTTCCTCTGAAAATTGATAATTAGATCATTCAACAACTAACAGAATATGCACAAAATACATTACAAACTACTCAAGCCTACGTTGCTACGTTGGTACAAGCTAAAAAGTCAACTTATTAAATTGGAACCTATTGACACCTCAGCCACCACGTATGCCGCCTGATTGGCACCAAAGGGAATCTTTTCAAAGGGTCCCCAAATCATTATTTGGTTAAATGTTTAAAAAATGTTTAACTCTTTGAAAAATGACAATCAGCATTTTGTCAAATCTAGTCAGTTTGAAAATACGTCTTGTAATTCAAATAATTGTAAACGCAAAGTTTGTGAAGATTTTTGATATTGTTAACATTTGCCAGCTTAGATCATATCCATCTTAATTAAGTGGATATTGGAGCTATGATTATTACTTAAGGCGACAATAGTTCAAATCTCTTAAATCGTAAGTAGAGAAAAATCAAGGTAACAAAAAAAACCCTGAGAGAATCGCATGAACTCAAAGAGGAACAAGACCGGCTGCATCGACAGGGCAACGTTTTGTTCTATGCTCTGTAACTCTGTTGGCGCAATTTTTGTGTAAGTAGCACGCTAATGTGAATGTGTAATGGAAGTCCAAAAAGTGTGATCATTCACGAGCATAACGTGTTAACGCCATGATTAATATGGTATGTTATAGGTGAGAAATGGAAAATAAACAATTGAAAAGTGCCACATGTGGAGCAGGATCTGCTCACCCATCCGGAGCATCTGAGATCACCCGGTTCTGGTGGGGTGAGTGTTGCTCAGTCTTTAGTTTTCTAGGTTGTGTTTTGTATACATTTGTTTTTTGGTCGTTTTTCGTTTTTCGTTTTTTTGTCATGGCGTTGCCAGTTTGTTTTCGTCTTATGAGTTTGTATGTCCCTTTGGTGTCTTTCTCTTTTGAAGTCATAAACAAAAACTTTTGAAGGGATGATTTTAACTTTACTAATTGGAACCTTGGTTCAAAGCTTCCTTGTAAGCATCAACCCTCTATCAATGAAATTATGATCGAAAAAGTTAAGGAATACTATATCAACTGGGAGATATATACTCAAGATTGCAAGCCATGCTGGAATGTTGCTACATAGAAATGAAAAATTCACAATTCTTTTGTTGTAAATATTTGTTCCCAAACATATACGATGTCAAAGTATTTAATATTTTATTCAAGGTATGAGACAGACTTGACTGTATCTGTAGTACACGTTCGATGGGATTGATGTGTTCAACATAATCAGTTAACTGTTAATTATTTAGCATGATGGTACCATAGATATAGTGAGACGTGAAATAAAAGGATGCTAGCGTCTTTTTATTCTTCATGAGAAGCTCCTGTTTGAAGAATGCCGCTGATGAATAAAGGAACAAGTAGAAAATAAGAGAAGTACAGTTGGTTCCTATTGAAATGCCAAATGATCTTTTATCGATCAAAAGATCAAGCATATTGATGAAGTCAGTCTCAGAGAATTGTTTTTTTTAGAATCAAATTGGGTTCTTTTAAGGTATGATTTATCCCTGCCTAAAAACTAAAAAAACATCTCTAATGAAAAGGTAAGTGGTGGTTTGTAAATGTCACAGCTACAAAGTTTGAAAAATGGTTAGTTTAGCACTTTCTCAGTATCTTGTTTCATATCTTTTTACCAACTTCTTATTTCTAATACGTTTAATAACTTACCTACAACCTTTTCACCTCCATCGTACATAATAAAGTTTATAGAAAAAACTTTTCAAACATACCAGACTCATAATTTGTACAAAGAAGTGCGTTTCGTCTACAACTGACTCATCAGTGACGCTCGAATCAAAACATTTCAAAGGCCAAATCAAGTACGAATTTGAAGAGCATTGAGGACCCAAATATTTCGAAAGGTTTTGCCAAATATAGCTTAGGTAATCATTTCCTGCAGGTACAAAATTCCTTCTGAAAAATTTAATTTTTTGTAAACTGTTTATTTATAGATATGACCATATCAATTATATGTCATGTCAACACTAAAGCACTGACTACTGGGCTGGTGATACCCTCGGGGTGGACACCTCTAACAGCAGTGGCATCGCAGAAACACGTAGCATGTACACAGAAATCAATATCATGTTTCTAATATCATTGGAAGACTTCTGTTTCTGGCGGACTCTCATTCCCAAAGAATTCTTCCGCTAGCCGCAAGTGTTTCATCAATATCATTATTTGCTTTGAACATCTAAGCAATTCAAAATCATGAGATGAAATAAATGCACAAAAATCATGACAAAAGAAAATATAACGATCAAAAACTGGTCTATAAAACACTACGCAGAAAACTAAAAATTGACAAACAAAAACCCCGTTAAAATACTGGAAAATAAATTCAGATGCTAAGGAAGGGTAAATGGTTGTAGTTTCATTAGTGAAACATATCGTGTTGTTCATGTCACGTTAAAATATTTTCATAAGTCGCATTCTATGAACGCCATGAACGAGAAAAACAATAAAAGATTTTAGCAAGTATATACATATTCTAAAACGATCAACCAGATCGACTTTCATAAACTCACACTTTTTTCAAAAGTTTCCCTTTATTCTAGAAGGAAACCCATATAGGAATCGCAAGCCATGAAGTGGAGATATACACTCAACATGAAGGTTCTGTTAGAATGTGCCTCATAAAACAGGAAAGTTTACATTTTAAAAATAGAATTTAACTTTGATGAGTTTTTTTTAATATAAGCAAATACCCTTGTTTTTAATATAGTTATTAATCAGTCAGGCAAAATCAATCTTATCGATCTTATCAATCGTGTTACCTTGTCTTTTGTTTCATATGTGGTAGACTGTTGTTTATTGTTTTGTCATTTTTCTGTTTTGCAATGGCATTATCCGGTTTTTCTTTTCCTTCCACATTTGTGCGGCATAGTTGACCGTAATTGTTTAAATAATTTGTCTAAATGAAAAGTGACATAGATTGATTGAGTGTAATTTATTATTATTAAATAGATTACATGCAAATATATTTGCTGTAACACAAATTCTTAAGGATGTTTGCTGATCATATTTTTGAATATTTGTCAGATATTCGGAATCCTCAGATTTTATCCATGAAGTGCATTTAAAAATGTTGCCCGCCATGGCCTACTTTTCATTTCATAATGCTATTACATATAGTTTGAAAAAGTCATTGTAAGAATTATATTTATTCTCTTTATTATTTTGAATATTTGGTAGAAGGTACATTTATATTAACACTAATAGTGTATACATTGTCTCTTGGCTGTCACTATTTAATTTATAGGTAGGCTTTTGTAAAAACCTATATTTCTATATGATTATTGAAGTTTACGGCGCTTAACATATTTGCCGTCTTTGCCGCTCGTCTTTATGACGTTACGTTTTATTATGATGATGTTATTTCAATTTGTTTACAGCAGTTTATTATTTGGATTGTATTTGGACACACACGATTATTTTTATAAGAGAGCATAATCGGTAAGCATATAATCCTACTTTATAATTCATTTCTTTAGCAAAAATTGTAACAATGTTCCGTAAATGAAATATATTGATTTAATTTTTTTCGTGCAACTTTGTACTTTATCATAAAACATGTTTCTTTACCTTTTATTATGATTGAGAAGTAATTAATGCACTGTTTTTTATTTTTATGATTAACGGAATTTAGTTTCACTGGAATTTTTTAGTTCCGTTATTTATATACCTTCCTTAGATAACAGTCTTTTCAAAAGATTGTTATTTTGAAACAGAGCAGGGCATGTCCTTAAATATTAAAACAATTACCATTTAACTCACACCATAAGTAAGAAGACGCATTGTAGACAACATAGTTAATAAAATACAGATACATAAGCAAGCTGATTCGCATTTGGAAATATGAAAAATAATCATGGTTAAATTTATATCTTGTAGATATAATACGTAATTAATATAAGTCGATTTTGATATCGTTCCTGTAAATCAGACATAAATAAAAGAAACGTTACATATCGTTATGTCATTATAATTCTTGGGGTAACAATTTTCATGGGTTTCATGGGTATAGGTGAACCATGAAATCCATGTTGTTTAAAGAATTTCAAATTTTCTAGATGCTTCTTCGTTAAATTCTTCAAAACCATAGAATTAAGTATTCACAAAAAATATATTTTTATTCTCAATCCACGAACATTCTTGTCCACAAAAAAATAAAATATACAAAACATTTTATTTTCATCATAAAATAACAGTGTTCCTAAGTTCAGTACATTTCACATAGGCCTAGATTTACAATAGACAAAGATGGTAGTGAACATTAAAATAGTTAAATCGTATGAGCTCCAGACAACATACACGCATCAGACACCACTTGACTTCATGGCGATATCGACGGGGACGTGTCAAAACCAGGAACCTGACAGGAAGTTTCGTCCTTAAAATCTCTCCTGGATTCGCAGCTGATAAGTTAATGGTTGCATTTTTTTAAATTCAAAAATATTGACAGAAAAAAATGAAAATAACTACTTATAAATTTTATGCATCCAAAGCGCTTTTTTTTTAATTTACTTTCATCAGTAATGCCATCAAATCCTAAACATTTGAAAGCCAGCGGTATATAAAACGTAGAAACGTTAGAAGCTGTTATATGACCAAGAGGAATATAAAAAGAAAAACCAAATTCATCCCATGTCAAGTTTTTCTGAGAGTGTTGAAACCTTACTTTTTGAATGATTTATCAATTGATAAAAGTCGATCTATTTCGAATTAATACTAATAAATGTCTTTTGTATTTTAATCAAGTTATTAATATCATGCAGAATGGAAAATGAATTACTGTCTACGTCTGGAGTGACATACAATTAACATACAAGAAATCTACGTTAATAGTAACAAATTCGTTTCATATTAGATGCATACAATTGTTGATTTGGTTACACAATTTATACAATAAGGACAACAAATAATCACACCGTTCAAATTCAAAAATAAACTTTAGACAATTTACAATTTGTGGTTATAAAGTGGCATTAGCTACGATTTAGACGAAAATGATTTTATTGTCTCAAACATTTAAAAATGCTGAATATTAGAATAATATTTCGCATTTAGCAGTCAGTGTGGTTCAATTTTGTCACAATAAGCTACAAAAAACGTCGTTGATGTATAATGGTTTGCAAGTCAATAATTCAACCTGTTCATCCGTATTCATGTAACCTTTAATTTTACCCTCAGCTGGAGATGGGTTACATATGCTATTTGTATTCATTTATGAAAAAGAAACAGACGTCTACATTGAAAGTCAAACAAAGGAATTACCAGGAAAACCATTTCGATGGCTGATTCGGCCCACAAAAAAACATTCCTATACATGTGAAAGGATGATTTATATTTTTCTAATCTAAAATATTAAAGTAAACAGCCCGAGAAAAATCGTCGTATAACACATTTTCACGTGCTTGTCTATTTAGATTTATGTTTATATCGCTTTGTCTGACCATCGACAGCCTTCATAGGTCACCTCGATGGTTAATCCGATCGCATCTATCTAGTCTAAAATACAATTTTTTGACTCCTTGCATTTTTAACTCTTTTACGCTAGTGCTACATAAATCTCTCATAAGTATGTGTTTATCATAAAAGAAATAAAAAGTGACCAAAGTTATAGCCAGTTAATGAAAAATGACAGAAATTTACTGAATCGTGGTAAACTAGGTGAATTAAGGTTTCTGTTCGTGTTCTGTTGGAAATCCCGGAAAAAAAACATACATTCTTACAAGCAACAACAACTGTACAACGTGTTAGTAATACTCTGCTACTACTACGGGAGTTTTTAACAACATAGACTTGCTCTAAAGTCCTCACAGGGTTGGAAATAATACTCAAATGATATTTGGTTTATTTGATTATGGCCAGCTAAATAATATCGGTTCTATATTATTATTTGGTTTCGAAATATACTGTTGTTCCTCTTTATCTGATACATGGAAAGTTATTTTTGTATGTAAATTGCTAATGCGTCTGCAAGCTGGAAAGCTGAAATTAAGTAAATGACAATAACTAATTAACAAATAAGGTACCATTCATAAATCATATAAATCACGACCGTGTATTGCAGATATGTTTAAGTTTAGAACTTTTCCATATTAGACCAATTATCCGATTAGGCAAACGAGCTAAAGCCTGATGTCATAAACCAAGACCAGAAATAGAGAAATTTTCAGCGTTAACTCATGCAAAAAGACCATGTATTAAAACTGTCGTGTAACTATCAATGAAATATACCGGGTTAATAAAAGAGTCATTTCAATGAAACGTATATAATTAAGTTATCAAAATAATGAACATTCCGAATTTTGAGAAAGTATACTTAAATCTTTTCTTGTACGACATATTCGTTCATTAGTTTTCTTAATTCTTTTAAAATTTCTTCAATTATTTATGTTTAATATAATTCTGTCTTTCAGACGTGTATCAAACATATGAAACTGATCATATTTTTTTTCCATTTACCTGTATAGCGTATTTATTTAAAAGTACTGTATTTGATTAAATCATATTTTAAAACGACGATTTTTTTTTTGAAAATAAGGGTATATTGTGTATGAGGGTTATCATTATTACACATTAAGAGTTACATAGCTGGCGTTTCATGCAATGAAGAAAAATCTATAAAAATGTTAAAACAATGTGATCTGGAATAATATGTTAATTTATAACAATGAAAGTTTTGATGTATTGATAGTTACCTTTAAGGTCCCATTGACCCATTACGTTATTTGGCATGTATGCAAAAGCAGGATACTGCAATCCAAATTCATATGAGCAAGTAGGACCAGAATCAAACACTGCTATCCATCCCACATCAACATCACATCCACCGTAATTTTTGTTGATATAAAATCTTCGTTCTATAGGCTCATCACTGAAATATATTGCAAGTTTTGAACGGATATAATATTTTTCAAACTCAGTGTAGTTTTATTGTATATTAACTAATGGAAATTTCTTATTGTAATTTTGCAATTCATTTTTAACAGTAGCTAAATGTCATTAAGTGAAAAGCTGCTTCTATTTTGGTATCAAATTTGTATGATTTAAAATACCTGATAGACATGTTCATGGTCGCACCAAAAAGATAACTTTTATATTGCTTAATGGTTGGGAAAACCTTCGCATTCTAAACAAAATGTATACATGGCCTCTGATAGCCTTATACGTATCGGTTTCTCCTCAATATATATTTAATTAATGGCACAAATTATATGCAAAAGGAGTACCTTTGTTTGTATTGTTTTTCTTGAAGACTAAACAGTAAATATATAAAAAAATAAAGCAACTCCAGCTTTTGTATAGTAAAAAGTATTTACAAAAATACCGAACTCTAAGGTAAATTCAAAAAGGTAGAATTCTATAAATCCTGACAAAATCAAACGTTCGACTATATCAACTAACAATACGAATGGAAAACAACTGTCAAATTCCTGACTTTCTGAAGAAAATGGTGGATTAAACCTGGTTTTATACAGAATAGACTGAGATATTTATTCTATTGATATGATACCAATGCTCAATGATTTTACTGTGAAATAAAAGGTATGACCGACTTCTGTTGAAAACAAATGTGCAAACAAATATCAAATATTGGAGGATATGCAGTGACATCAAAGAAAGTGAGACAAGGTGCATCGACACGGTCGGATCTCCTTCCGTTATGAGTACTTGTGTAATATTGTCAAATGAACGATAGAGGACAAAAAAACGTATGCTGTATTTGTATTTGAATTCGAAACAAACTAGGTGGCTTATCTATAACAAACAAAAAAAAAGCAAATGCTGAAAGTAGCATGCTATTTTATTAAACATATCTCAATTTATAATTTACGCTCGTACATGTTTACATTATAGGGTCTTGCTCCTGGCACCAAAAACTAGAGTTATAAGGATTAAACGACTGACATTGACACTTTTAAGTTGGCTTGACCGCAAGTTCTAGGTAAAGAACAAAGACCTGTTACGGGACAGACGAACGATCATTTACGCAGAACAAAAGACCCCTTCTATGGTAGGCGGGGCATAAATATCTATCCTTAAACATCATTGCCATAAACAATCCAAAGTGAGTCAAGCGGGGCAAAATCCTCTGATAATATAAAAAAGAAGATGTGGTATAGTTGCCAATGCAACAACTTTCAACAAGACAAATGACGTAGAAGTTAGCAACTATCAGTCATCTTCATTAATGAGCAAACACCGTATCGCATATCAAGCTATAAAACAACATAAGTGTAAAATCATTCAAATGTGAAAACTAATGGCCTTCTTTATGTATAAAACAATAAACGAAAAACAAATTTTATAAGTCTGTAAGCACGGTTATTAACTAAAAATACATTTAATATTTTCAGGAAAACTATACAAACATACCATATTGCCTGTATTATCCCTCTCTTTGATGATTTAAAAAGATACCAGGATTATACGTTTGTACGCCAGACGCGTGTTTTGTCTACACAAGATTCCTCAGTGAATTTCTAATCAAAATAGTTGGAAGGCCAAATAAAATACGAGGTTGAAAACATTTAATGAACACATATATCCAAAAAGTTGTGCCAAATAAGGCTAAGGCAAAGTATACCTGGGATAGAACAAACTTAGTGTTTCGAATAAAGCAATATTTTATAAATAAATAGTAAATTTGCAGAAAAATGTTAACGACGACAGGCACAAAGAAGTCAATGACTAACAGTTGTCAATAGGTTTAGCTATACAGAGGATAATACATATATAATGTCCCTTGGTTAAGGTAGGCTAAATATTGGAAGAGTTATCAAATTGTCTGAAACTTGTCATAATACTTACCCTTTAATGCTGAAGAAGTTGTATGTGATTCCAACTGTGATCATGTCAGTATACGAACTATAAATAAGTTGATCTTTACTGTACCAGTCTGTATTCAATCCATTATACGTATTGTTGAAAACCATGTTCATTACCATTACATTATCTTTGTACATGGCTACTTTTACCTTTAAGATCATAAACGGTAATGATGATACATAGCTGGGTCATCAAAATGTTCGACAAAGAATCTTTTTAAAGTACTGACTACTATTCTTTCTACAGTTAAAGATGGATTTGAAAAATATTGTGATGAGATATATTCTACCAGTAGTGTTAACCAGATGTGGATTCTCAAAAATTCGAAAGATCTACTGCTTAATCTTCGATCACATAATCTTTGCAATTTTGCAGCAACATAAAGACTTTTGATTTTTCTACTCTTTACACTACTGTTTCCCATGCTCAGTTGAAAGATCGACTTCACCATCTCATTAAACTGAGCTTTTTCTATAAAAATGGGAATCTTAGATACAAATTTCTTGTTTTGGGTTACAATAATTCATATTTTGTGAAAAACCACACTGAATCTACCAGAAAATATACTGAAGATGATATTATCAAAATGCTGGACTTTTTGATCGACAATATATTTGTTGAGTTTGGAGGATTTATATTTCAACAGACAGTCGGTATTCCAATGGGAACTAATTGTGTACCCCTACTGGCCGATTTGTTTTTGTACTCGTATGAAGCAGAATTCATTCAGAACCTTCTAAAAGACAAAAAGAAAAAGCACCTTGCGAAATTCTTTAATTATACTTTCCGATATATTGATGATGTTCTATCATTGAATAACCCATATTTCAGCCAATACTTACATCTCATATATCCCAGTGAACTTGAAATTAAGGATACTACTGATACTAGAAGGACTGCTTCATACCTTGATCTTTTCCTCAATATTGACACAGATGGACGACTTCACACGAAAATCTATGATAAACGGGACGATTTCAACTTTCCAATTATCAATTTCCCATTTCTTAGCAGTAACATACCCTCTGCCTCTTCGTATGGTGTTTACATATCTCAATTGATACGTTATTCTCGTGCTTGTTCACACTATACGGACTTCATATACAGGAGTGTGCTCCTTACGCAGAAACTGCTCCAACAAAGTTATGAGGAGGACAGATTAAAAATGACACTCCGTAAATTTTACGGACACCATCACCAATTGGTTGATCCATACGATGTGTCTTTGTCCAAACTAACTAAGGACATCTTTACCACGTGTTAGATTGTGGTTTGTCATTACGTCGTCTGATCTTTTAATTACCGAACGTGACTTATTCCCGATTGTGACTGTTTTGCTGAGTGTGAAACCGCATTGCTATAAGACGTGTCACGGTACCTTTCTATCCCAAATTCATGTATTTAATTTTGATGTTATATTTGTTGTTCTCGTCGGATTTTGTCAAATGTCTTACCGTCTTTTCTGTTATATTCGTGTGTTATGGTAAAGATAATTAATTACCCCCTTCATTTATTAGATTTTAGTTTGGTTCAACGAAATTTATACGATATATTTGGTTTACAGTTTGATTCAAAAGAAACACCGACATAGCTAGATAATAAAATTAATTATCTAATTACTACCATTTGATATTAATAAGTATTGTAAGTTTCATTGTTATTAATAAATGTAATGTCAGTATTACAAATCTAATCTTTAATCAATCCTAATCCTATCTTATTTTTGGAAAATATTTTTACAAATTCAAATGTGACGTCACTTTGTGTGTTTTTTTAGAATTTCAAATGTGACGTCACTTTGTGCGTTGAGGCTTTGGCTAACTCGGCTGTGTATTTTTTTATGTGTTGGATTAAGTTGTTTTATGTAATGTATCCGTTTTTATTCTGTAGCTAGTCCCCACTTTGGTTTTATCATGTATATCTATTATATAGTCATTTTATAAAATTTACTGTTTGCAAAATTATAAATTATTCTTAATAATAAGGATGTTCCTGTCCCAGGCAGAAAACCCTGGCCGTGTTAGGCGCAACTTTTTGGAAGTTTTGGTCCTCGGTGCTCTTCAGCTTTGTACTTGTTTTGGCTTTCAAACTGTTTTCATCTGAGCGTCACTGGTTGGTCTTGTGTGGACAAGTCGCACGTCTGGCGTATTGAATTTTAAGCCTAGTTCCTTTTGTTAGCTATTATTCGTGTGTTTCTTTGTCCTATATGTTCTCCCATTTATTTGTATTGTGGTCCTGTTATGTGATGTTGTCGTTTTGGTGTTGTGTTTAACGTTGCCATAAAAGCGGGAGGTTTGGCATGCCACAAAACCAGGTTCAACCCACCATTTTTTTTCTTAAAATGTCCTGTACCAAGTCAGGAAAATGTCCATTGTTATATTATAGTTCGTTTCTGTGTGTGTTACATTTTAATGTTGTGTTTTTGTTGTGTCGTTGTTCTCCTCTTATATTTGATGCGTTTCCCTCAGTTTTAGTTTGTAACCCGGATTTGTTTTTATCTCTATCGATTTATGAGTTTTCGAACAGCGGTATACTACTGTTGCCTTTATTTACCTTTAAGATCATAAACGGTACATTTTCATTGTTCTCACGTGTAGAAAATACACATTAATAAAGTATAGCGGAATAAAAATATAAACAAAAGAAGAATCATTAAATTGAAATCAATCAAAGAAAACATAACCAGTTTCTTATACATAAATGTAATACAATATATAAACAAATATATTTTTTTAAATAATTTTAATTAGATTTATCCAGACTTTAAAGGGTCTTTAAAAAGATAGATTGAAATTACTTTTAGCACCATTTAATATTATGCAGCTTGTGCAAATATTGTCGTTTGCACTGAGGAGGGTGGACACAACAACTGCATAAGTATTTTTACTTTCTTTATCATATGATAATGTTTATAAAATATCTTATAATTTTTTTGGCATTTTGTTATTTGTATTAATATTATGACTTCAACCCATTGGGGTTAAATGTGTATTTTTTTTAAAACAAAATGTATAATTCAAATGGTATTGGTTGACTGTAATGTCGTGATGGTAACTTCACACCTGCTTGATATTCAGTTTGAGTACTGAAAAGGTTTTAAAGACACCGATTTTTTATTCAATTATTATTCCATGAGTTATGAAATTTTACCTAAACTGAGGGTTTGTTCACAGGTGACTTTAACCAAGTTTTAAATATCTAATGTATATAATATAAAATATGTAGTTTTTGTTTATAAATTTGGATATAAATGTTAAAATTACATAATTACATAACCAAACATTATTGAAATAAGTGCAAATAAGCTATAATAATTATTACTTCAGAAGGAAAGCACCAAGCTATTAAAGATATAAATTGAGTTTTGAATTATATGTTATAATTTGTATGCTGTACTTTATCTACAAATGACATTGTGAATAACAAAAAAGACCACGTGGGGTATATGTGAATGAGACAGCATCCACAAGATGAACCAAACCAGAAACATGTTTGTCTGAAATACAACATTTTGTCATATACGAAGCTCTTAATCATACCGAGTATAGAAAAACGGTGAATAAACTAATAGATACTACTATCATTTCCGAACATAAATATCTGAAATAAACAAGGAACGAGCTTGTTTCATTACCTGGGACAGTCATTTTATGATTTGGCGGATTTATATATTTCTATGTACTTAACCATTCCATGCTTTTCATATACGAAGAACGTAGGGTAAAACTAGCTCAGATACTGCACATAATTTTATAATATTGGTATATAATGGCAACAGTAGTATACCGCTATTCAACAGTCATAATTCGATTAAGCAAAAATAAATCCGGGTAACAAACGAAAACTGAGGGAAACACATCAAGTATAAGAGGAAAACAACGGAACAACAGAAACACTGAACATACAATACAACAAAAAACTGAAGCATCCAAAGCTTGATTCCAAAAGTACGCCTCACGAGGTATTTCACAGAAACAAGTGCAATAGAATTTGAATAGTTACGAACTTCACTAGGATATAACACAAGCAATTAACGTTATTTATCTTGAAATGTGTATTAGAAATTTTATGTCGGGAAAAAATATGTTCGTTAAATGTTCATGTATTCAGAGTTCATGTAATTGTATTTTTGTATTTGGCTTTCCGAACTTTTCAAATGTGCACGATGTAAGTTATGATTTAAGAAGGCATTTTTACTGAAAAAAAGTTTAAGTATATATCCGCGGCTACTTTATTAGGCTGCTATTTATGTCTGTGTTAGGCGGATGTTCTTCAATTTTGTAAACTGTTTAGCTTCAAATTTTCAAGAAAGCTTTCATGATATTCCTTTCAAAAGATATAGAACACCAAGGAGACAGCAATAAAATATTGTTTCAAAAATTAACCAAGACTCAAATGACCAGGTTGCACAAAAATTACTTGCAAATGGAAAATAATATGTTATCAACATTTAGATATATCCCAATATATATATGCAAAAGTATAGGACCCCATGATGGCAGGTGCACAAATTCAATATGTTGCAAACTATAGATTGAAATAAGCAGGAAGTGATTATTACATAAAATTGGTAGCGTCTTAAAAGTATTGATGAATATATGATAAAGTTCTGGAAAAAATAGGAAAAAGATAAATAAACAGTTATGTACTAGCAGGTATACAGCTTCATAATTTGTGCAACTGATCCACGAGGATTCTTGGTTTACGGTTCGAACTGTAGGAGGATTCGATTTCACAAAATTAAAACCGTGTGTAGTTTATTCTGAATAATTACTGAAGTCCAAAGTCTGGAAAAGGGGGGAAAAAATCCTAAAAAAAATCCTAAAACGATTCAATAACACAGTTTCAATACTTCAATGGGTCTAATGTTTCTGTGAAGTTCATCGATCTTTTCTAAAAAAAAAAAATATAGGAGTTGATTACACACAATAGGTTTCAACTATTCGAAGCCTGCTTACCCGACATCATAATACATTCAATTGTTTTTTGTAATTCCATGAATATGTAGAAAAATTTGATCAATAACTTGGCAGATTCTATATCAAATCATTGATTAAGTGGTCTTTTAAAAAAATAAAAATACCACTTTCATTTTGAAATAAAACTATGATGTAGATAAGTACTAGTACTAGTAATAAATCTTTCATGTCGATGGTAAAGTAAATATTGCATTTGTTTTTCCATTTACATAAGATAATTTTATATGATTCTTAGATCTTATCAAAAAACTAATATTAGAGGTTTGTTCATTATTGCATTGAAAGGTAATCATATAAAGTTTTGTCAATAATCATCATAAAACATTTTCAATAACCCATTTAACAGTCAAAGGTAATATAACTAATTTTTATCTTTAGTATCTTATACTGGCGAGCAGCTTACCTTGAGAATGCTTTGTGTACTCCAAATGTCTAAAATTGGATCACGGTAATGTGTAGTGCAAGTCAAGTTATGGGTAACGGGTAAATAACATCCAACTTCATGGGCAGGGAGTGAGACTGTACCGACGAACGAGTCATATAGCTTTACACCAGTTCCTGCAGTTCCTCTGAATATCAACTCCCATGAGTTTGGTGGTAGATCTAGAAATCAATAAAATATATTTGATATATCAATATCAATATTTTCAAAGTTGTTTGATAAAATTATATGTATTTTTTAATGAAATGGTTGACACTATTCGTAAACTTTCTTTCTGAACATCACTCTTCCCATCAAGCAATACACTTTATAGTATATTTGATACATCTATTCATTTATAGCATATTAATTAGTTTAAACAATATTTATTCAGATAAATCAACATTAAACCATATTATACAAATGAAATAAATATAAAGGATTCAGAAACAAGCAATTTGCTTTAACAAATCTGTCTCCTTTTACAAAAATAATACACTTATTGAACAATACATAAATATAATTACTGGCATGCTCTGTAATAAATATATGAATATGAAAAAGGTGGAAAATACTTAAAGAGAAGAATAAAAAAAAAATAAACATGAATTTTTGTAATGTATACAGTGTGAAATGCTTGGGTTCCTATTGAATGATGAAGCATTAACATCAAGGGTTAAAACGTTTACTTTTAATAATATATTTCTGCACCAAACTAAATAAAAAACTATTTTGCTCATCTGAGAGTACCGTTGATCCAAAAAGCTAAGTTTTTGTGTCAACTTGGACACGAAGAACTGAAACAGAATCTAGTAGTTCATGTCTTAAATCGGTGTATATAGGAAAAGATAACAGGAAGTGAGAATTTTTTTCTACATCATCACAACGACAAGTTGGAGAGTCTACTAAATTACGAAGGAATAGGTGAGAATTCAATGAACTTGAATCCATTCTTAAGCGAGCATGAAGAATTTGACCAAAACGATATCCTATATAATAATACGTTGGGGCCTTACTATTTTGGGTACGAATTTGTTTTTTGAATAATGGTAGAGATTCACATTTTCTTATGTTTAAGTTAAGAGTGTTCCATAGTTTTGTTGTTGCTGGGATGAAATATTCAGAATATAAACGGGTCCGTGTGTTGATTTGTGTAATATTATTTCTTTGTCTTGTGTTGTGATCATGTCTACTTCCTACTGAATCGGGCAATAAGTCTCTTAAATACCCTGGAGCTTTATTATTCAAAATTTTGTGATAATGAATTAGTCTATGATTGCGTCGTCTTTCAGATAATTTTTCCCATCGAGTTTCAACATATAAGTTGTTAATGCTGGTAAGTTTAGTACCCCCCGTGACGATACGCGCTGCGTCAAGCTGAATATTTTCAAGTTTAGCAATCAAATTCTAATTTTGAGAGTCCCAAACGACATCGGCATATTCAAGAATTGGGCGAATAAATGATATGTAAATTTTTTCAAGTGTAAACCTATCAAGAACATTTTTCATTTTTCTCATTATATTTATTCTTTTGTAAGATTTAGAAATTATGTATTCAATAAGGTCGTTCCAGGATCCGTTGTTAGAAAAAAAGACACCTAGATGTTTGTGTTTACTTACTGTTTGTAGCTCTTGGGTATTCATATTTAATGGAGGATGAAAGGGTCTATATTATTTTTTTTGAAATTATCATACTTTCAGTCTTTTGATCATATTAATTGGAAAAACAAACTGACTTCTGTGTATTTCCTTTAAACTATTGTTGGTACTTTTAGTTTAATATAAATTGGAAAGTATATATTAAAAAAAAAGCTTCATTTTCCCAAACAACATTTACGTTCAAAAGAAATGTAAGATATATATCAAAAGCTAACGACCTATTTTCTCTTTACATATTTCGAGAGCTAGATAATTTTCAGGCATTTTTAACTCTACCATTATTCCAAGTTAATTTTAATTATGTGTACATTGAGATTCTGTAAAAAAATTTGTATGTATCTGACTCTATGATTAAATTACAAAACATGGACTTAAAACTGCAGAATAAGAAGAAAACTCACCTTCAACTATTTAAATCTTATCAAACGTAAGTGTCTTTCAGATCAAATCCGTTATTTCTATTTCCGGGAAACATCAAAATAAACACAGTTAGAAGAAGCGTACCAGTAAGCCTGAATAACATTGTTCTGTTATCAACATTTGTAAGTAAAAAAAAATACTTATCTGTTTCATTCTAAAATGTCTCTTTTTATTGTGGTTAATACGAGGTTAACAATTTACACTTATCACAGAGCCTTAGGGATAACAGTTCTTTAAATGTTACCCTATTGAATCAACCAATAAAAAAACTTAATAAAAAAAACCAAAAATCAGTAATATAAAAAGACAAAAATTACAGATCATTCAGCACAATAAATTGAATAAATATAACTAACAGTGTGATAGAGCAGATTGTTAGTCCTCGAAAAAAAACATTGTTAACCGAGGCGAAGATTTTACCGTGACATTATTCATAAAGCTTAAATGTTTGAGAATCTTTCATCAAATATTTCTCTTTGGATAAATAGACAGATTGATAAAATTGAAAAATAAACCTGTTGTCGTTCAATTGCTGCATTAGGTTTTTTTATTTTGGAAAAAGATCAATTAGATCATTTTTAGGTTGAAACATTTCTTAAAGTTATATTGATTAGTGAAAACTATATATTATAATAAAATGGAAAAAAATACATATTGTACAACATAAATACACATTAATACAAATTTCTTACTTTCTGCGTTTTTAAAATCTTTATATTTCGACATTGCTCAAGGTACTGTTTACGACGTTGATGCATGAAAACTTCGTATCAGCCCTTCGAGCTGGCTTCAAGTGACTGAAAACTTTCTTTATTAGGCACCCCCTCCCCCAAGCTAGTATAATATTTCAAATTTGACAACGGTAGAGTAATTAAAACAGAGGCTGCGTATTTAAACATCACAAAAAGATAGCAGTTTGATAATGATTAAAAAAATAATAATACATTTTGACTAAGGTTAAATAATTGAACGTGACTGCGTACTTATACATCCCTCCCAAATGAATAGAACCCTGTAATTTAAACTGGTATAATTAAAAAAAATCCTTAAAACTGTAAGAGTCCAGAACGGAAGCCTAAGTTACTGGAAACAAGTGATGGTAGGAAAATGAGTGATAGTAGGGAAAATAAGTGACTCATTCTATGTTTTTTCATTTATGCCCTCTGGGGAAACTGTTCTAAGCTTTCTTATCCAAAACCTTTCCCGAGCGAGTCTGTCGGACCTTGACCAACCCTCGTTGTGGTCTATGATTGTGATGGTAAGGTTTTTGAGATCAGCTTGGGCGTGCCCAGGTGATCTCAAATGACGACTTACGGGGAGGTCGGGCTTGCAGGTGTAGTCACTTCGATGGCCATTCATGCTTTGTTGAATGACTGTTCTGTCTCGGCAACGTACTGCATGCCACATCGACACTGAAGAAGGTATACATCAGTACGTTGTCGAGACAGAACAGCCATTCCCGTCATTTCGTCATTCTGTCTATCGTCACACATTGTCCAGACTATTCAATTATGTCTGCAGCTAGAGGTCTTATTATTTTTTTTACAAAAGTTTATAATTATAAATCAATTGAAAAGACTTTTGGTCGAAAACAAACTGACAACGCTATGGTAAAATATCGAAAAACGACCAGAATACAAACAATAGTTTACAATTACAACGATAATTATTTTTCGACAAATAAATTTTTCATGCATTCAAAACTGACGATAAAGTCATTGACATACAAGGATATCTTTTTACCATTTATGCAGATATCGTAGATTGAATATGCATTGTATTTCACACAAAATCTATTTTTTATTTAAAATGTTTGAATGACACGTTTTATTTGAAAATAACAAACTATTCATTCCTTACTTTCAGCATCAATATAAACAATTATAAAGGCATAATAAAATAAGCACAATAATTTGAAATATTAAGATAAACAAGATCCTCTGAATTGATAAAACATAGATAACGAAGGTCAAGTCGGGGTTACGGGAAATGATTAGTTGCGTTAATTGCCTGTTATTATTTTTTATTGAAACAAAATGTCAATTTACATTATTGTACGTTAAATATTTCATGACGTGTGGAAGTCTAAACTGAAATAATTATCAAATGTCTATTCATATTCGATGAAATATAGAAACATAAAGACATAGTGGTTAATTGGATGATAATTTCAATAGTTTTTGTCGTTATACTAAGAGGGGTGAAACAAGGGAATTCCATATTTCGGTGTCAAAAAATCTCTTTGACAATTTGGTCAAACCCATTGTGACCTTCAACTCTGAAATTTCCTTCATGGGTTATTTTCGTGTGTGCCATAGGACAAAGCATAGAGCTGCACAAAGAACTGGTGATATTGACCATCTCAACACCCTTTCAAAAAATCCATCTAACTATTCGTAAATACCTTCTTGGAACCAAGAAGACCTCATCAAATATAGGTATGAGATTGGAACTAGGTAAACTTCCAGTTGAAAGTTTTATCACAACCCAATCGATTTTATATCTTGCTAGACTAAGTATTGCTCATTTAATCCCATTATTGAAAGAGGCCTTCGAACTTTTAAAATCACTTGATTTACAATGTGTATATTCTTGATGTACATATGTTAAGAACGTCTTACCAGACAATAATCTTAAAGACAAAGTGGCCAACTGTAAGAATACTACAGATGTAAATCAAAAATTAAAAAAATTGTGAGGGATTCCGCAGAACCCTGTGTCTCGCTTACTTTTGATGCTGTCAGTGTAAAAGTGTAATGATGACTTAAAAAGTGACTCCATTTATCAGTAAAAATGTAAAATACAGAATTCCAGATTTTTTCTTCAGGCGCTATTTCTTGGTCTTGAAGATAAGTTTCTGTCCAATTTTCAAAACAATCCATGAAGGTTTACAAACTTATCATGCCAAAAATATTTAATCCCAGACTGTAAATGTTAACTGTAAAAAACTAAGTCCATCTATCAGAAAAAAGGTGAAAATGAAAATATATTTTCCAAAGTTTGCTTCAGACATTATCTCTTAATCATAAAAAAGCTTCTGCCAAAGCTTCATAAAATTCTATGAAGGTTTGACAAGGTATTTGATGTGTGACAAACTTTAACC